TAGGGAGAAAAATACAGAATTTCAGTGTTTCTGAATTACAATTGAATATCCTGAAACTTTCATAATTTAACCCACTCTCTATCAGTCAAATGAATACATTTCATTGTTCTGAGTTTCCATAGCTCAAGATTCAATGATATAAACATGGAACAGTTGAAACTTGGTGAATTATCTTGTAGCAAAACACAAAAAAATCTTCGGAATCGCGAAATCGACATTTTCTTTTCAGAATCGTTGAACGCCAAGAAGTGTGCGCACCATGGAAAATACTTATTTCCTTGAAGATGTCTAAAAAAAATGTGATTCCTCATGAAAATTGTGCATATCACTCGACATTCCTTCAAACTTTCCGATATATGGAGAATTGCATAAACCGAGGAAAAACAATGGATTTCGTGCTTTCAACATACCTACTAGGAAAGTCAATGAAACTAATGTCGCTCCATCAACATGAAAAATTGAAGATAGTAGCAAGAAGAAAGTCCCCAGCTTGTCATTTGATTTCATATATCCAGATATGGATACGGAGTTTGGTGAAATCACTGAGAAATAATGCTTGATGTGTGATGTTATTTTTCCTTTTTTTTACCATGCTTTTATTAGCTTGGTATGTATGTTTGTACTCGCGTTTGTATGTTAATATGTTTGTGTGTTTGTATGAAAGGAATATTTGAATGTGATTTTTACCCATTTCAAAACTTCGAATTGAATCGAAACCTCGATTGAAGCTTCGTACACTTATCAAGGACCGATGACTATATAGGCATATACCATAGCATAATTTGATAGTTTTTTTAATCATCCTGATCAGGATCTTCAGGATGAGAGTGATTTTTTTTTTCACGGATAAAATGGTGAATGATGATCTGCCACCAAAGTTTGAAATAATGTTCCGTCACCAAAATTTCAAATGTACTATTTTATTCCTTCGAATATTTTCTCACAATGCATTTTTGTGCTTGCGGGGCAGTCGAGGGGGCGGTACTTACAAGAATATAAAAAAAAAACTAGAAAACACGCTCGAAAACACGCTTTTATGGTTAGCCGACCTCAAAAATCGTAAAATAAAAACATGCTTTCATAGATAGCCAAACTAGAAAGAAGTAAAATATAAAATAATAAACGTGTATATATTGAATACACCAACATAGAAAATATTAGCAACTCCGTAATCAGTATTTTCCTTGTATTTTCTATGTTGTGTAGGTATTTACACACTTTTATTATTTTATTTTCCATTTCTTTTTAGCTTGATTATCTATCGAAGCATTTTTTTGTAGTTTTTGAAACTACTAGGTATTTGTTTGATTTCTTAGTAGTCCAAATTGTTCAGGCTCTACCGACTGAGAAAGGAGAGGAAAATATAATAAAATGAATATACGTTCAATGCGAATGGTTTTTACAGAAAAATAGTGAAATCTTGTTGCAATAGGTATCAGCTAATTTGAGTTTCATTGTATGCGTTGAAGGTTACAGTTTACCCGTCTCCAGATTATTTTCACATAGTATATAATAATATAATGTAAAATCAGATACTGATTGGTAAACAGCAAAGGTATCTATTTTCAGAAGCCAGATTCTATTCATTTACAAAACGGCACGCCTCTCTGCATTATTATTATCTTGCACTACAGGTGTTCATTTAAATTTGCTGCACATTTGTTATAATCTTTCGATAAACTTTCATTCTCATATGAAATCCGAGTTACTTGATCCGCGTGAAATATGAGTATGCACGAGCTTGTACCATTCTGAATAATGTAACTGAACGAAAAAGTGCATTCTTATTCCATTTCATCATTTTATCATAGTTACAGTGTTGTTTTATATGTCCATGTGAAAGCAATGACTGAAAATAATCTCGCTCCCTCTTTTCCTCACTGCAGACGGTAAAAATCTCGGTAAAAATAAACAGTATATAAGAGAATTGATAACATTACCACCGATATTTACACCATATTTTGAAACAATATTCGAATCGTGACCATATCTTTTGTAAATTCCGAGGTAAATTCTGACATACATTCATCATCAAAACCCGTCAAAACAGAGATCAAAACTATAATATCATCATTGAAATCGTAACATAGAGATACATTTCTCACTGTAGTGCAGATTTTTAATAAGATTGTTTGCCGAAACATCTACTTCTTGATTCATTAATTTGATATTGAATTTGAGTGACACATGTTTTTCTCAATCTCATTCATGCAGACAAGGAGAGGAGATGGAGTATGGAGTTAGGTTCGTAAATAATGATTCAATGATAATTATTATGATAAATATATATCGAGATATTATTTGACGTCTTTGAGTGAGGGTAAACCGAGGTGTAAACCGAGGTGAGGTGTAAACTTATTGAACACGAATTCAAAATGTAGCAAATGAAAACATAATCTATTACACTTATCGCTTTTCTCTTCCTTCTACGATTTTCTCGTTGACAGACTCTAGAATGATCTCATTATCCAATCCTAGACATAAAAGATTAACCTATTACCTTGCCTATTACCTACATGATTTTATGTAGTTGAGAAACACGGTGGCAAATATTGACATTAAAAGCAAATGAAAAGTGTTTGATGATGACTAAATAGATTAATAGTTGTGGTTTATATGTGTCACGCAAATATTTATTCCAGTAAAATCTGATACACAATTAAAAATGAGTCAAGTTGCGATGGAATTCGATCGATTGATAATCATTACCTGACATTTGACCAGTGAGTAATTTTCACTCGGAATTCACAGTATTTCTTACGAATTCAATTTCGATGAATTTTCACAACATAGGAGGAAGTAAGTACCCAAAATCGTAATAGTTCTTCGGAGTTGAAACTTTTTTATAGAAGAGAACCTAGTGTTGTTTTGAAATATTCAAAAAATCATTTCCTTAACGAAAAAAGTAAAAAACTACACTGAGAAAAAGGTTATGGCCGTTCTAAGCCATAAGAAGTGCATTGGTGAGCGCCCTCTCATGGCCACAGTAAAAAGGTGTCCGTATTCGGGTTTCGCATTTCATAAATCCCGAGGCTACCGATTTTTAAAGTAGGTATTTGGTTGAAAAATGTTCCCAAATTGAAGAAATTGGATTTTATTTTGAAACTTTAGCACCCTGTATTTCGGAATCGGAGCAATTTCGGACTGAGGTGACACCCTGTACATCTTATATGTAAAATGCGGGAACTATTCTGATAGGTCGACGTCGGTCGACGTTTATTCTTGATCTATTGAGGAGAGTAAGTATCAGTTATTTGCTCTGTTATTTGTCGATTTAAACTCGTGGTTTTTTACGAAAAACCAGAGGAAAATTCCCAACCGACTAAAGAATTTGTTCGTGTTGCACTTTTGATCTGTATTCAGTGTTCATATCTATATCATAATTATCATTAGTATTATTATTATCATCATATCATTGACACTATTGACAGTGGGGGTCTTTTATAGTTTAACAAGCAACATTGACCACCTTGCATATTTTGTGATAGTAATGAATGATTGGATGCGTGTTTACAATCCAATGAAATAGTGAAATATACAGGTATGTATTTCTCACGATATTCTCATATAAATTGTTCAAATAAGTATATGCCCGGAAACGTTTCGTTTTCAAGATACGGGGTGTTAAAACTTTGTTTTTATTTTCATGTATTTTATGGCGTAAATCATATCTACTTACGTAGGAAAGATACCTTTGTGACAAGCAACCATTCTCTATATATTTGGACTCGAAAATTTCGTCGATTATTTGATAGTCGATGCGTGTTGAAGTTGTTAATACCATTATCATGCATAGTTCCCAAAAATTCTTAGGCAATCTGACGTTTTAGTAAGTAGATTTGGTGATAAGACAGTTGAACGTTTTGTTGGAGTTCCTCTCGGAGTTTCTGTAAGTTTTGAAACACTAATTTTGTAATAGAACTTTAACGAGGAGTTTCCGAACATGTATGTACCTGGATTTGGACAATTCATATTAGAATTCTGTGAGGCATCACTTCCTGACGTTTGTCAAAGTACTTTAGAATCACCCTGTATACACACATCTTCATTTCAATAGACTATTCATTTTTTGGGCTGTGTAATGGATACATTTTCTTCATGAAAGTGAGTATATCTAGGCGGCTCAGTTTTTGACGTATATATAAAGTGGCATCCATCCTATCTCGCATCCTATTCATACATTTTTGACTCTGTCCTCGTGAATGTCTTCATGAAATGATAATTATTGATGCAAATTCATATTAATATAGCTTTACTTGTATGTAGCGGGGTATGTAGTCGTTAAGTCGACATCCAAACGGTATGTTAGTTTTTTGCTCGGTGTTTTGTTAATTTTCTCAAGAAATATTCAGCGCATAAAAAATGCAGTAGACCGATTTTTCAAATCGAGGATAGTCTAAAAATATAGAGGTTTTCGTTTTTCTTCTCATTTCTAAAATGTAAGTGAAAAATGATTCGGATAAGGCTGAATTATATTATAACTATATTTTATGATAAAAGTCAAAGTTATTCGATTGCAAAAAATCATTTTGCATATTGATGTGCAAATTAGTGTAGAAAAACGCATTCTGAATGTATTTCACATATATGTATGTACAGGGCGAATCAATTTAGTATGAGAAATATTTTATTCTAGTTGACATGCTCCTCTCGAGTAAGCACTTGTCTCCCTATTGTGAGATGATAGTAGATATATCCAAATCGCCCTGTATAAATGGGTCACCAGCGAAATATGCGAACATAATAGATGACCTATAAACGACAGACCTCGAAACGAAATCCAGTGAGACAAAACGAACGATTCAAAAGTCGTATAGTAGCTAGTTAAGTGATATTTAATGAACGGTGATGCAACGAAAATAATAGAAATAAAAGGTTACATAATAGAAACTGAAAGCAGTCCAGCAATGGCACGAGGAGCGCCAAAAGAATGCGCGAATATACACGTCGGGTTGTCGCAGCAACAGGTTGCGAGGGTTGGCAGGAGATGCCGTGCTTACCCGGAAAGAAAATTAATCCTAAAGCGCGCCCGGAGTCCGTAAATCCTGGGGGCAATGCGGGCTAGCACCGTGATCAGCTGCAGCGGTAAATACACCACCGGAACAGGAACACCGAGCCATAGCTCCACCACACCACCACTAGCCAGAGAAGTAACCACGATTCGCGCACAGAAGTCTGGCTCTGGCTCTCCTGCCTTCGCTTCGCGTACAGTACTCGACGCGAGTGTATTATATTTTTGGGGCACGAGTTTTCAACACCGGGTTGCGCCACAAATGAAAGTAAAAGTGAACTAATGCGAGCCTTCACAACTCAGCCGGAGCGCAAAGCTCAACGTCGTCCGTCCGTCCGTGTGTCTGTCTGTTGATGCAGTCCTGGAGGAGGAGGATTCGGTGCCCTGCCTGAGCGTGAGCCACCCCCGATCGCGATCACCTTATCAGCGGATTATCGGCACGGGGCTCAGCTCACGGGATCGCACAAAATACTACTTAACTCTCAATTTCTCCCTTTACTTTCCCCTCTTTTCTTTTCTGGCCGCCCCTCCACCACGAGCGCGCGAGTTTTTTCCTGTCGCTCGCTCGCTCGCTACAATCTTTCTCTACTTTCAAGGTCGCCAAGAGCGGACCCTGCGCGATATGCTACGGTGCTGGAGGGACTCGGCTAGTGGCAGTCGGTCAAAAGTTTCTGCTATCGTGCTAACTGGCGATTGCATGGGATGATGGCTCACCGGGTTGCGGGACTAAACAGCTAGTCCCGTCTGATTCGGTCGGTGTTGCCGGCCCGCCAGGAAAGTATAAATACGTAGCCGAAAATTAATTTTTAGTTTTTCTGCGAGATCTCCTAAGTAGTGGACCAGACTACAAACATCACAAACAAATATTAGACGCATTTTTTTCTACCTACTAACTCCTCTCAGACTGTATATGAAATATTTGAATAAACCTGATCGATTGATATATTATACAAGGTGTCCGGATAGGTCAGGTTGTAAATGATACGACTGAAAGAGTGAGCCAAAATAATGTCAGTTCTTCATATAAAAAATATGTCTATCAATCTTCGTCACGCAGTTATTGACCTTCAAAGTTAGAATGAAAAGAATGAATTTCATGTATAAGTTTCAAACGGCTGCCATGGTATAAAAATGATATTCGGGCAGGTAAATAAACTCATACTATTGCTCTTTTCCTTACGCGTAAACGGCTTTTCAGTGATTATGTTTTATATAGGATGCGACAATTTTTTTCTGTTCAATGAAATCATTTTTTTACGAACCCTTCATCTACAAAAATGGTACACCTCATTTCAATCGATATCTTGTACCGATCTACAGAAAATTGCATTCGAAAACATACATACCAACCGTTTCGAAGGTGATAAGACTAATTGGCAACTGCTCAATTATGGATCTTATATCAAAAATGTAAATAAATATTCAACTTTTTCGCAAGAACATCCAGATCCGTTGTTAGAAGAGGTTCTTTTGAATATTGGAGGTGTTATGTGACTGATGCACGATGGTGTGCCTCCTCATTTCGACAAAGCTGTAAGAGATCATTTGAACATCACATTTTCCCATGCTCCTTTTCTATGGCCACTTCGGTCACCTAACCTTAATCTACTCGATTTATTTCTTTGAGGCAATCTTGAATGTTAAGTTTATGAAAAACATGTACATATTAGAGATGAGCTTTTGAATCGAATTCTTATATCTGCACACGCCGTAAGGAATGATCATCATCACCACGTTATTTCGAGTACAACGCAGATGTTAAGACAACTTTAGAAAATGCGTTGAAGTTACTTACTGTAATGAAGTTGATGACTGTCTAGCCCGCTAAGTGGCATCATCTTGCTCAATGAGCAGAGGATCACCTTGCTCATGAAGCGAAATCATTATGTTGCTTGATAAGCGATATCATCTGGCTCAGAAAGCGAAATTATCTTGTCCATGAGGCAAGATAGTTCTGCTTCATAAGCTTCTTGCCAAATGAGCGAGAAGATCTTGCTTCAGAGGTAGCAGAATATTATCTATTCTTATGCCTAACAAACAGGGAGATCGTCATCTTGCTTAGTAAGCAAAATCATCTTATTCCATAAACAAGGTTATTTTGCTTGAGAAGTGAGATAATTTTACTTGAGAGGCAGGATCATCTTGATTTATAAGGTACCTAGATGATTATATTACCTAATAAGTGTTATCATTGCCTTGCTTATTCAACAAGATGATCTCTCTCACTAAGCAAAATGATTATCTAGCATATAAAGACGATCTTGTTTTTAAAAATATTCCAACTTTCCCTTCAGTGTTCCGTTGGAGCTGTCTCAGATTAGTTAGTTGTAGAAAATCAGGGGAATGCTTTTTCCCCTTTTAATTACTTCTCCGTCTGTACAGTTTTCTTCAGAAAACATGTTGCGGTTGAACGATATGAGCGCTGTCATTGCAGCGGTGACTGAGACACCTGACACCGTCCACATGCGACATGCTCTCTGTAGTCAACCGGACCGAACATCCGCAGATCTGCGGATGAATCCGTACAGACGGCAACCCTGAGGTAGCAGCGAATTGCATTCCGAATTCCGCGCCGTTCTCGTTGCTTTCACCGCGGGCTCTTTTCCCCAAGGAGACTCGGCGGCCGTGCTGCGAGTGCCGTGAGTGCCGTGACGTGCCGTGAGGTGCCGTACGAATGCGATCGGGGCCCGCTGTGGGGCCGCAACCGGACTTTCACAATGCCCGCATCTCGTGAGGTGGGGGGAGAGGGAGGGACTGCTGTTGTATAATACTATTCGAGAGATGCAATACCAGACCTGTGTCGGTGTCGGCGGGAATAGACCAACTTACACGGAAAAAAAGGATTCGTTGCATCAACAAATTGTCTAGAATTACTGCTTAGGTAGATCTTGGTCTCAGAATTTCTCCCCGCGAAGGCATCATGAAGATAGTGACGTCAACGTTTCGCGTGGATCTTTGCCGCTTAATGAATCCACACTATTTTCGCGTGGAGCATTCCCTTATGATCAGTCCACGCGAATATCGCGTGTATTGAGTATTCTCTTATGATCAATCCACGCGAATTTCACGAGGAGGATTTTCCTTATGATCAATTCATGGATTCAGCCATCTTCTGCCACGTTCAATGACTCAATAGAAAATATAATGAATAGATCCTTTTTTTGTTGGCGGACAATTTTCTTTTTTCCACTAATTTTGCGCTAAAGTCAACTTGAAATTGAAAAAATATATATGTTGTCATTTGAAAAAACCGTTCAGTCGCTGTTGTTAAAGTTGAAACGATTGGGAAAATGTTGCTTGATTCAACGATTTCTTTTTTTCCGTGTATGATACATGATTCTTCGATGAGAACCCGTATCGTATGGGCGTTTTTTTATCGTTTGGTTTGCGTAAATTTGGAGTTGTTGAAAGGTTTTTGCTTTGGAAATGATGCGACCATTGGCGACCGATCGTCTATACCTATCAATATTGAATTTGACATTCACAAACAATTAGGTTATTCCACAGTATTTCGGAAATGTTGAAGGAAATTCAAATTATTTAGATTTTTTTTTCTTGTATTTCTAACCTTCCTAACCTTTTTCTTGATGGACTGTGTCCTATTTGCCTACGCAGATCTACTTGGCTCGCGTTTAACTTATTTCTACCAACATTACTAACGATGAACATGCACATGCAACGATATAGGATCTAATCTGCTCAGTTCAAATTCACGTCTACAGAGAAAATTAATGACGAGCTGAATACCTACCTACGTACTATACTTTTTACATGCATTCAGACTGCCTAGTATTTTTCTTGCTGATTGACAGATAATTTTAACATTTCCTGATGCTACTACTGCTGCTCGTGAATTGGTAGTTACATATAATTTCTGGTAGAATGCCAAAATGAATGTCTACTCCATATACAGTTTCGCTCACGTTTGGATTCATGAAAACTGGAAAATTCTTTCTCGAAATACGCCAAATTTTATTCAGAATGAGACGATCAAATAATATAGAACTATCTTGTAGACACTTTTGGAAACGTCCACTGAATAGTCCAGAATAACTAATCGATGTAAACATACCAAATATGTCATTCCATTATTGAAATAAATAGTAGTAGTCTAAAAAGAAGTAGAAAATAAAATTAAAATATGTTGATCAATACACAACATCGAAAATACAGATTACGGAGCTGCTAATATAGTTTTGTATGTATCAACACACTTTTGTTATTTTACTGTTAAAATGTGTTTTTTTTTAGTTTTTTAGTTTTTTTGTTTTTTTCTGTTCTATTCGAACTGAAAATGGGTAATTTGTGCACCTGTTACTTTATTTCATACGAGTACTTGGTGCAATACACTGATGCTTTGCTTCGACATATTGAGGTGGGTCAAGGGTCAGGTTCACCTGTCCTCTGGATGTGACTTTTCATACCAGTACTTGGTCCAAGACACTGCCGTGTCTCTGATGGATATAAAAAGCTTCGATGCTGAAGATTCTGATCACGATAATAAAACAAAACTATTATGCTATTGTCATCGGTACTTGTTAATTGTGCGAAGTTTTAATTCAATTTGAGTACGATACAAACATACAAACATACATACCAAGCTAATAAAAGCGTGGTTCAAAAAAAGCACTCTTTCAGAATATTTCAGGGACAGCACACGTTATCCTAACTTCCTTCGCTGATCCTTAGCATGCGAATCTGTCACTTTTTTCCATCCTGTATAGGGTACAAAATATAGTTCCACGTGCAGGTAGACCTATTTCAGTTAATGCAGATCAAGCAAAGTAGTTGTGCATACCTATTGTGCAAATGATGTCATTCGACACTCGACATTCTACTCAGCCGATGGCTAATTACAGATTCTCTTAATAAATGCTCAACACATTGGCAATTGTAGAGGATCCACGTGTCAATCATAACCCAAGGACTCGGACGAAAGTATACCCACTCAGTGAATTACCTAGTTTAATAAGTTAATGGTAAATTTATGCCGACATGATGGTGATAACACTTGAATCTGGTCGCTTCGACCACGTGTCATGAATGCGAATCAATTAGTTTACTTTGTTTGTATCTCTATGATTTGTTGAGCAACACTGGTTTGATCTTTCTCTCATAAATATTTGGATTTCGGGAAATGGACTGAAATATATTGTAAATTCGATTCATTCAAACCTCAAGAAACAGAACGGCATTTCGTTCTTCAAACTTCAA